ACAGTTGTAAAGCTATAAGAAGTTCTATAATTTCTCTAGGCAACCGCTCACCCGCAGTTACCTTTGCTACAAAGTCGGGCGAGTTGATCATACAAAAGAAAGATCAGGGCTTTGTGGAAATGGATTTTCCGCAATATGCCATCACAACTGTTCACTTTGTGGGCGTAGCAAATCCTCTGGCAAAGTTCTTCTCCGAGGTAATGCCTTTTCACGATCTCAAACAAGCGAGAATAAAGCTTGATATAAAAACGGCACTAACTTATGTATTTATGACTATTTCTAAATACGCAATGCCTACTAGTATTAATGTTTACAGTTTGACGCTCCATCGCATCTTAACGATTTGATTGATTGTCTCATTCCATCGACGATCAGTGTCAGAGGCGTAGCATATGCAAGCGGAGCGAAGAAACTGATAATAGTGATTGACGAGCGAACTACAAAGTAGTCATTTTCCCTCTATTGCTATTACCTATTAGAACTCAGGGGAAGGGGACGATAACAGTACCATTTTCCACTTCAACAGTACAGAAGAATCGAATATTTCAGTTTGGAGCTCTTTGAAATTAACGCAGAAAGTTCTGAGAAGATGAAACGTATGGATCCGGAAGGTAACTTTGTGCGTGGTGTTATTGTCACTCTCGCTCCCGCGGATGCGAAAGCTCAGGTTTGCGTTTTAAAAGTTTGAGGTAATTAACAGCGAAATCAATTGGTTGCACCCGATTATCAAATTCTAAATGCATATGCAGTGAAACTACTGAGATGATATGTTGACGCTTAACAAATGCACGGTCTAAGAGAGCTTTGCCAACGTGAATGTGTCATAGCCGCCAAGATTGCGTTCCAGTGGGGCGGACTTTTGCCAATTTTGCTTTTCAAGTAATGTTTTGTCTTATGGTCAAGCCTTCTATTTACTACTTAAGTCAATGGTGTCAGCACGATCTGGGATCGCTTATGCTGTCTTTGTATGCTCTATCTGTAAAAATGAGATAAAACAAAAATGTTCGTTCCAAAATAATCATAG